GTTTGTTTGTTTGTTTGTTTGTTTGCATTTCATGGCAGTGAACAGTAATAATAAACAAAGTGTAAATATTATATGGCAATTTCATTCAAATATAGAAACCTCATTAATCTAGTCAGGAGGGGAATAAAAACTTTAAAATCCCAGTACCTGGACTTTTGCCCTTGTGCAGCATTATTTACACCYATGTGTAATTAGATCTGTTAGGTTCAGAACAGATCCAACTCTGGAACAACGGGAGATATTTGCTCATGTGAAGGTTTCACTTTACAAAATTCCTGCTGGATTAAGTTCAAGGTTTTTGCTTTTTTATTATTTAAAAGAACCCTTCTTTGCTTTCCTGTCCAGAAGATGAACAAAGCATGKCCTTTCTGTAAACTTTCTGAGATCCACTTCACATAAAAACACTCTGACTGTCTTCCGTCAGAATTTAGAAGCTCATCAGTTGTTGTTTCAGTAACAGGAAGTTGTTACATATCGAATCACCACACCATTATCACTGCTTTACAGGAACAGTTGTTTGTGCTAGGATGTAATACTTCGCTTCCTTCTGTCATAACTTATGTTTAACCTTTTCCAGCAACTCTTTACTTGGTTCATGACTTTTATGTGATGTTTAAGCCAGATTTCTTTAACCTTGTTGTAATTCAACTTAGACAGCTCACTACGAAAGATTTAAACAAGATTTTGTTGTATATTTTGAATCAAAACCAAAAAATACATCAGATTAAATCAGAATAGAATGTATAATACTTTGAGTACACATAATATATATTGCATGTCTGGGTATGACTCTGTTACTTAGGTGTGTTTGTGGTGGGGTTTGTGTATGCCACTGTGGCCACTTGATTAATGAGATGAGTTCAGCAGTCTGATGACTGCTGGGATGAAACTGGTGGTTCTGGTCCTCTGGCTCTGGTACCTCCTGCCCGAGGCYGGCAGGGTTAACAGTCCATGTAAGGTGTGTGTTCTGACGTTGTTGACTCTGGTGAGRCAGCGTCTGAGACCGATGTCTTGGATGGAGGAGAGAGATTCTTTGTGATCCTCTCTGCCATTCTCACCACCCTCTTCAAGTTCTGCAAGTACCCCAGACAGAGGTCTCAGTGCTCTGGATGGTGAGGACAGGGGGAAGTGGTGCTTTTTCACCAAGWCAGCCAGTCTGTTGTGTGTCACACCTCTAGGAACCCTTTGCTCCCCATTACCTCTGCTGCCGTGTTGTTTATGAGCAGGAGCATGAAAACTGGCTTCATCTTTCTGAAGTCTACAGTAAGTTCCTGCAGCCTCAGCAGCTGAACAGAGACGTTCAGAGTGTAAACCAACCYTTCCTGTCAGTGTTAAACCCCTGGTTGATACGCTCCGGCTCTGTTGCATTATTTACAGACTCCAAATGTAGCTCTGACATAGTTTTCAGTTTTCATAAGGTCTAAACAAGCTGGACTGATGAGMTCTAAACAATGGCTATGATTAGACTCAATGCTGAAACTGTTTTTTTGCTCAGTTTGAATTTTTTTATGCTCTCAGTTGTTGGTCGGCAGACATAAACATACTCCAGTGA